AAACCAGCCTAGTGGGGGGCGGAGGGGGGTTCCCTTTATGCCGCAAAACCTGCTGCATAACCCTGCCGGACTGATAGCTCCGCAGACTGCTCTTTTCAAGAGGCATGAATAAAACTACTGCTCGCTTCTTTGCCGATGAGCTCAGCTGCCACTCTGGGCTTGGGGAAGTGAAATAATTCATTACAACTCTATTTTATTGCAAGGTTAACCTTGTCTGCTCACTGCGAGCCTGTTGTGGGGAAAGGGTGGACGGGTTCATTCTGCAATTATTGGCCCTGAGTTGCTTAACAGGAAAACCAGTTTTTATTATTCCTAGCCTGTTGGAATAGTTGGTTCATGGAGTATCATCTTTGCAACACTGTCACAAGGCACTGCCTTGTTGATCAAGCCCCTCAGGAGACATTCCCCACCGGGTGTTTGCTGCAGTGCTGACCCTTCCTCTGATTTTGTAACCAAAGGGGGGGAAAAACATCTCATCTCAGTGTTTTTAATGTTTATCTTGAACACATAGGTATCAGCACATTGGTGCTCACCACCAGCCTCTCCACACCCTGTGCAGTGTTGCAGTAGGAAGACAAAGGCTTCAAGGAACCTGATTTTGAGGCATGTGTTGAACGGGCTGGGGACGAAGCTTATTTCAAGCCTCTTTGAACATGACGTTTTTGTAAAGCCAGTTTTCTGCGGAGGAACAAGAGTCTTCCACTCCTGCCTGTGTTCACTGCAGCTGGCAGATCACAACATCTCGCTAAACTTGTGCCCTCCCTCTGTTGCAGTGACAATGCAGCAAGTGGCCAGGACAGTGGCCAAGGTGGAGCTCTCTGACCACGTGTGCGACGTGGTGTTCGCGCTGTTCGACTGCGATGGTGAGTGCCCCCAGCCTCACCCCATTCCTCTCAGCCAGGCTGTGTGAGGGTCGATCCAGGGGGAAAACTGCCAGCCATGAAAGCTTGCCATGGCCTTGGCTCTTCTCGCCATGCTGCCGTGGATCTGCATGGATGCTCCTGCCCTTCTAGGAAGGGTATCTGATGGTACCCAGCTTCTGAGATGTTGATCTTAAAGCACTGGATGCAAGTGTCCGGCCTGCACAGCTTGCTACACAGCTGCTTTCTCTCCCCCTCCCCCACAAAACTCTATTTTGCTTAATAAAATGAGCTATCATGCTCCAGTGTTGGAAATGAGCCTATCTGGTACTTTGTCTCCAAAGTCCTGGATAAATATCAGCTTAATTAATTAACAGCAGCTCTATGCCCTGCTGGGAAGCTCATTGCTTCGCTGGCCCACAGAGGATGCGAGCGCTTTGGGGTAGCTTGTTGCCACACTGAAGCACTCTTGGGTTGATTTAATGAGAAGGTGGAGTCTTTGCAACTGGGGGATGATGGCAGCAGTTCAGACTTGGGAAGCAGCAAAATTCTGCATTTTCCCAAAACTGTCAAGCCAAAACCAGAGACCTTGCTGGTGCCCTGCTTCTCCAGTGCAGTCACCAGGTTCTGGCAGCTTGAAGTGGCAGCAGTGATGCATGAATAGACAGTTGTTTGCTTTCTGATAGAAATATGAACATGAAAACAAGATCTTTAATTATTTTATTCTTGTTGTCCCTCTTGGTTTCAGCCCCACCTGCTTCTTTGCACCTTTCTAAGGTTGCATCTCTTGTTTTATTTTTCTCTGTGCTTCAGTGCCACTTTCTGATACAATCCACAAGCCAGATGATCAGGCTGGAGATTATAGTGAACTGAAGCATAGCTGAATATTCTGTTTGCATCCTCTCGTAGGAGAATCTGCTAAATACTTTGATAGCAAACCTTTGGGGGAAAGACTGTGGTTGCCAGAGGAGTCCCTGTAAGGAAGGAATCAAGTGGAGAAGCAGGCACAGACTTTTGTGTGTGTGTGTGTGTGTGTTTTCATTCCATCGGTGTTTATAGACGTTACGATGCACGCATCAAAAACCTGCAGTACCAGAGGGAATTTACTCATCCCTTAATAGTTTGCTGGAATTTTGCTGCCCAGATTTGCATTTGGATGTAAGGCAGGAAAAAAATCTCTCAAAGAAACTCATTTATGTAATATAACAATGAGGTTCCCCATATCAGCCAGAGAGACTCACTCTCCTTTGATCTGGGGAACCAATGACACTGGTGGGTTTGTTTCTTCAGGGCTGACATACCTCATATTTCTTCTGTGCCCAAAGGTGGGTTGCTTTCCTGTGCTGCTCCCCAGAAGCTAAAATCAGTGCTATTGGTGTGTGCTGGAGGGAGGGGAGAAAAACAGGCAATGGGATACGTATGGCATTGTGGTAGAAGGCATCAGCCCCTCAGCGGACAGGCATCAAGGCTGTCAGTCACGCCATGGCTTGCTGCTGTCCCCTCCAATCAACCAACACCCTAAATAAAAATCCCCGAGGTTTTAATTTGGTGGTTAATCCCTGAGGTTTTAATTTGGTGGTTACACAACTATGGAATAAAATTTGCCCCAATTCACTATAGTCTTATTTTTAACATAAATTTAGTTGACATAATTCTCAATAACCTCACTAGATTACTTTAATGAATCTTGCCTTCTATGCCATTAAGAAAAATCTGTGCTCTGTTACCCTATGCTCCTGTAATTTCCTAAATCACTTAAAGTGGAGAGTTCCCTGCAGGTGTATGGGCGTGTTTTTTGCATTTGCTTTTCTGTCTTCCAGGTCCTGCAAGACATGGCAGTGCCAGGCCAAGCAGGGCAGCATCCGTAGGCTTGGGATTTAAATGCTGTGGTTCACCAACCCTTGCTCAGCAGGATATTTTGGGAGGTTGAAGCCAAACATGATCTCAGTCTCTGCAAGAAATGACACTTGTGGCTGCTGCCCTTTTAATGTCAGTGCATGCAGGGAGGAGGTGGTTGGTGGATTTTAGTGTTTCTAATATTACTATTTTTTCTTCTCGCAGGGAATGGCGAGCTGAGCAACAAGGAGTTTGTTGCCATAATGAAACAGCGTCTTATGAGAGGCTTGGAGAAGCCCAAGGACATGGGCTTCACGCGACTCATGCGGGCGATGTGGAAGTGCGCCCAGGAGACAGCATGGGACTTCACCATGCCCAAGCCATAGCGAGGTTGGGCAGGAGCACTCAGCTTCCCTGTCTCAGCCCTGCCACCATCACCTGCGGGTGAGCACTGCTGCTGTGGACACCTGCAGGGTGGCACCAGGCTCTGGCGAGCCCAGACTGTTCATAACAGGAGATGTTTGTAAATCGAAATTGGAAATCAAAGCCTGTTGTATTTACAGCTTCTGCTTGCCACTGGCCTCTTAGTATTCCCCTCTCAGGAAAAACAAAAGAACTTTTCTTAGTGCTGCCACCTCGCTTCATGATGCACCCTTCCTGCAGAGCTGGGCATCGAGTGAGCTAGTGGGGCTGCACCCAAATCACTTTAACATTACAACAAAGTGGCATCAGGTTTATTTTAATTCTTGGATTGCTCCTAAGAAAGAAGCCATGGGATTCCTGGATAGATCCTACTGGTGGGACCTAGGAGCAGAGTCTGGAGCAGCCAGGTGCTGAGAGTAGCCCAGGATTTCAGTCGGCCAAATGCTCCGTGCTCCCCCAGACTGTCGGGGGGTGAGGGGACAGCAGCAACCACAGAGCAGCTGTTTGAGCTGAGGTGCTGCCTCTGGTGTAAGAGCAGTTAAAAGTAGTGGAGCAACTGGCTCTCCTGCCCGTCCTGCCTTGCATAAGCAACCTGCTGCAGGAGGTCTCTAATTATTTTTTTGTAATGGGGAGCCCTCTCCATGGGGAACTGCCATTCTGTAACGGGAGCAGGCTGAAAGATGTTATTTGCCAAGTGCTGTAAAGTATCGTATAAAGATGTTGCTCACAACACCACGGCTCGTGGATCATCCCTTTCCCTTGCTTCAGGTCTTCACCTAAGGCCAGAGGCGAGTCACCAGAGATGGGGCATTTTGGAAGGGGGAGATAAAAACATGATGACTTTCTGGAGCTGGAAAGACAAAGCCCAGAATTCAGTGCTGGAAAGGCCAGAGCTACTGTGTTTGCTGTCCTACGTTGCCAGCCAGCCCCAGGCAAGCGGTCCCATTTGGGGTGGCCCAAATGCTACAGCCTGCTCATTGCAGAGAGGAGCACTCTCTGCGGGTGTTTAAAGGACCAGCCACAAGCTCCAGGCTTTCTCTGAGGGAATAAAACCCTTCATGAATATTTTCACACTGGGATATTGATCCTGCTATTGGGGATCACTCCATCTACTGTCATCTCCTTTTTCTCCTCTCCTATAGTTTGCCTGCCAGTAGCACGCTGCGTTCAGATGTTGGTCCCTGTGCTGTCACACGTTACATCCAGCAGCGAGGATGCTGGGGTGCAGGTTTTGCCAGTCCTGTCCACAGGGATGGTGGTTCTTCTTCCTGCCTGTCCTGCCTGCTCCCCACAAGCAGCTGTGGAGCCTCTGCAGAAGTGTCACCTGTCTCAAAATTCTCTCTTTTGGAACAAAATTAAGCCTGTTGCATCCCCTGTGGGACTGGATCTATCAGCCAGCCTCTGCTGTGAAAGCTGAGATCAATGCATGCCAAGTCTTAATTGCAGAGCACCATTTCCCCTAAGAGCAGCCTTGTCCCTCATTAGCGCTGCTCTTGTGCGAGCATCTCCTCCCTTCAGCACTGTCCAGGCACAGTCCCTGGTGCAAGGAGCTGTGTAAAAGGCAAGGAACTTTAAAAGGAGAAGGGGTTTTACCTGACAAAAACTCCTGAAGGAGTTTTATCCTCCCATCCCAACCTCCCCTCTGAGAGCAAGGCACTGGGGGTTGCCTTTTCGCCTCCCTTAGACAGGCAGCCCTAAACGTAGGGGTTTGTGGTGCCAAGGCAGCGATGGGAGGGCAAGGAAACCCTGAAGGCTCAAGAGCAGGATGTGCCTCCCTGACATCCCCATGCTGACACAGGGGTTTCAGCCATTGCTTAAATATGTTCCTGGGCTCTGTGCTGTGTGTCCCCAGTCATGCTTTTCCTTCATAATGGCCTTTATTTGCAGGGACTAGTGCACACCTGCAGGGCTGTGATCTTCTTGGCATCACAGAGCCATGGTGGAATGGCTCCTGTGATTGGAGTGTTGGAAAGGAAGGGTACAGGCTCTTAGGAAGGACAGGCAGGAGAAGGTATCACCCTCTATGTGAATGACCAGCTGGAGTGCACGAAGCTCCACCGGGGGATGGATGAGGAGCCGGATCCAGAGGGATCTGGACAGGCTGGATCGATG